CATGTAGACACCTACAAAATATATGTATCACATTAAAGTCGAGTGTCTACGAGACACAATAAGGATGGGTTGGATTGTTTATTTAACAGTTGAGACCAAGTTGAGATGTCTAGATCGATGTACATGCACTCTTAAAATTGGAGTACTTAGGTGTCTGCTTAGACTAACTTTTTAATGTATGTTCATATATTATGCCATGTATGAACTATGTACTCATAAAGAATTAATTAATCCATATATATAGCTTGGGATTAAACAATTTTTTTCCACTTTTGGGCAGTACACTGATGCAAGAAAAGACCCTGGAGAATACTGGAGAGATGTGATGAAAGATGAGCCAATGCCTAAAGCAATCCAACATCTTATGCCTCAGCCACATAAAGAGAAAATCGATAGTCACAAATCATCTTTTGAGCCAAGGACAAATATATCTAGTTATCATGATGATGACAATGTTGGTCTCAAACAAGAAAAGAATTTCGAGCCAAGGCCAAATATATCTAGTTATCATGATAATGACAATATTGATCTCAAATAAAAAAAGATTTCAAGCCAAGGCCAAATATTTCTGTGTACCGTAATTGATAATATGGCATATAAAGAGTATAATGTGTGAGAGATTGTCCTCTGGTTATTTTTGTGCCTCCCAATGTTAAATGGATCTTGAATAAAAAAATACTACTTGATGGTTGTACTCAAATTTCTCTTGAATTTAATAGTAGTATTATTACTAAATCTCAACTTACTTTTCTTTTCGGTCAGTCTTCAAAAAGAATGATAAATTTTTGTATTTAATAGTAATAATTTAACTTTAAACTGTCAATTTTATCCTTAATAAAATGATTTACACACTAATTTCTGACTTATTTTATACCATAAATTTCAAAAAAAATTCTTTCTTTCTTAAATTTCGTGCCTAGTCAAAACGATATGATGAACCTCTTGATGTACCACAAGAAAATGAGCACCAAGATCATATTAATTTCCGCTAAAAATTAAATTTGATTTGGCTAAGAACTTTCCAAGCTAAAACATAGCTAGTGATTAGCCACTGATTGAATCCCTAATTAAATCATAATCCTTGGAGGGAAAACGATTAGGAGTAATATTGGTACTACTAGATGCAAAGCCATAGCACGAGGCAAACAAATCATACTAAAAGTATTCTTATATATTTTTCTATCTCAATTTATGTGATACATTTTTTTAGTCAGCCTCAGAAGAACCATATATTTGATAAATGTTTAATGATGTTATTAATATTTTACCCATGTTAAGTTTCATTATTTGATTAAAAACTCTTTTATTGAATGAGACCAAATTATCAACCGGAAAACATCTCTAAAGCACCAGTAAAGAATATATAGACATTTAACTACTAAATATATATTTGTTACATGAAGCTGATATATTGATGAAGAGATTTGAAATTCTGAAAAATACTCTCGACAATTTGCATGATATAGATAAATTGACGAAAACTAGTGATTTTTTCAATTAAAAAAACTATTTTTAATAATGATATTTTCAATTATGAAAAAAAAAACTATTTTTATGGATGATATAGACATAAGATTAAACCCTAAACCCAAAAACTCTCTTCTCTCTCTTTCAAGCGATATATGGCGTGAATAGCAGCCATGGCTGCTTCGCCCTCTCCCCAGCCAATGGCTGTGGGAGAGACAAACGTCAACCCTAATACATGTCGTACATATGCTTCAGCAATCAGCGGGAACCAACAATCTAGTGAGAAATCTCTCAAACCAGTCATTCTTTTACATGGAGAACCCACAGTGGTGTTTGACTCCAAAGACATAGAAACATATATCACGGAAGAGAATTTAAAATACGCTCTCATTGCCAAATTCTCACATGGAAGGCCTTAACTTCCAGATTTACGAAAAATATTGCCTCAACAATTAGGATTTAAGGGTGAATGTAACATTGGGTTATTAGAAAGTCGACATGTGCTCCTGCGGTTCACTTTAAAGGAAGATTATATTGCAATCTTTTCAAAAACTAGTAGGTCGATTAAGTTCGCTGGTACTGTTATACCATTCAGAATCCAAGAATGGACTCCCTTTTTTAGTCCTAGGGAAGAAACCTCCATTGCAATGGCATGGATTTCTTTCCCTAGTTTACCCTGTCAATATTTTGCTCGTAATGCTCTGTTTTCAATGGCTTCAGCAGTTGGACAACCTCTTGATGTGGATCGAGCGACCTATGATAAAACACGACCTAGTACTGCAAGGGTAAAAGTCGAGGTGAATCTTTTAAGGATTCTTCCAAAAAGAATTAGAGTTCAATTCAACAATTTAGTCACTGGCGAAATTACAAACGTATGGCAAAAAATTAGGTATGATTATGTACCATATTATTGTAAGAGATGTAAGCATCAGGGGCATAGAGAAGCTGATTGTCGAACTCTCACTGATGGTCAAGTTGATGTCATGGTCAGTGAAAATCATATTGAAGGAGAAAAATTTCAAGGAGATCTTCGTGATCATCTCAATGCTAAAAAAACTGATATAAATAGTCTGGAAATTGGTGAAACGGATGAAACTGTTAAAGATTTAGATGTAGGGGCTGAAAAGAGTGGACAACGTTGGTCTCAAACAAGAAAAAGATTTCGAGCCAAGGCCAAATGTATCTAGTTATCGTGATGATGACAACGTTGGTCTCAAACAAGAAAAAGATTTCGAGCCAAGGCCAAATGTATCTAGTTATCGTGATGATGACAACGTTGGTCTCAAACAAGAAAAAGATTTCGAGCCAAGGCCAAATGTATCTAGTTATCGTGATGATGACAACGTTGGTCTCAAACAAGAAAAAGATTTCGAGCCAAGGCCAAATGTATCTAGTTATCGTGATGATGACAACGTTGGTCTCAAACAAGAAAAAGATTTCGAGCCAAGGCCAAATGTATCTGGTTATCATGATGATGATGATTGTCTCAAACAAAAAAAAGATTTTGAGCCAAGGCCAAATGTATCTAGTTATCATGATGATGACAATGTTGGTCTCAAACAAGAAAAAGATTTCGAGCCAAGGCCAAATGTATCTAGTTATCATGATGATGACAATGTTGGTCTCAAACAAGAAAAAGATTTCGAGCCAAGGCCAAATGTATCTAGTTATCATGATGATGACAATGTTGGTCTCAAACAAGAAAAAGATTTCGAGCCAAGGCCAAATGTATCTAGTTATCATGATGATGACAATGTTGGTCTCAAACAAGAAAAAGATTTCGAGCCAAGGCCAAATGTATCTAGTTATCATGATGATGACAATGTTGGTCTCAAACAAGAAAAAGACTTCGAGCCAAGGCCAAATGTATCTAGTTATCGTGATGATGACAACGTTGGTCTCAAACAAGAAAAAGATTTCGAGCCAAGGCCAAATGTATCTAGTTATCGTGATGATGACAACGTTGGTCTCAAACAAGAAAAAGATTTCGAGCCAAGGCCAAATGTATCTAGTTATCGTGATGATGACAACGTTGGTCTCAAACAAGAAAAAGATTTCGAGCCAAGGCCAAATGTATCTAGTTATCGTGATGATGACAACGTTGGTCTCAAACAAGAAAAAGATTTCGAGCCAAGGCCAAATGTATCTAGTTATCATGATGATGACAACGTTGGTCTAAAACAAGAAAAAGATTTCGAGTCAAGGCCAAATGCTTCTGTGTACCGTAATTGATAATATGGCATATAAAGAGTACTATGTGTGACAGATTGTCTTCTTGCTCTTTTTGTGCCTCCCAATGTTAAATGGATCATGAATAAAAATATACTACTTGATGGTTGTATTCAAATTTCTCTTGAATTTAATAGTAGTATTATTCCTAAATCTCAACTTACTTTTCTTTTCGCTCACTCACAAAAAGAATGATATATTATTATATTTGGTAGTAATAATTTAACTTTAAACTGATAATTTTATTCTTAATAAAATGATTTATAATCACACTAATTTCTGACTTATTTTATACCATAAGTTTAAAAAAAAATTCTTTTTTTCTTAAACTTTGTGCCAGGTCAAAACGATATGATGAACCTCTTGATGTACCACAAGAAAATGAGCACCAAGATCGTATTAATTTCCACTAAAAATTAAATTTGATTTGGCTAGGAACCTCCCAAGCTAAAACATAGCTAGTGATTAGCCACTGATTGAATCCCTAATTAAATCATAATCCTTGGAGGGAAAACGATTAGGAGTAATATTGGTACTACTAGATGCAAAGCCAAAGCACGACGCCAACAAATCATACTAAAAGTATTCTTATATATTTTTCTGTCTCAATTTATGTGATACATTTTTTAGTCAGCCTCAGAAGAACCATATATTTGATAAATGTTTAATGATGTTATTAATATTTTACCCATGTTAAGTTTCATTATTTGATTAAAAACTCTTTTATTGAATGAGACCAAATTATCAACCGGAAAACATCTCCAAAGCACCTTTAAAGCATATATAGACATTGAACTACTAAATATATATTTGTTACATGAAACAGATATATTGATGAAGAGATTTGAAATTCTGAAAAAATACTCTCTACAATTTGCATGATATAGATAAATTGACGAAAACTAGTGATTTTTTCAATTAGAAAAACTATTTTTAATGATGATATTTTCAATTATGAAAAAAAATATTATTTTTATGGATGATATAGACATAAGATTAAACCCTAAACCCAAAAACTCTCTTCTCTCTCTTTCAAGCGATATATGGCGTGAATAGCAGCCATGGCTGCTTCGCCCTCTCCCCAGCCAATGGCTGTGGGAGAGACAAACGTCAACCCTAATACATGTCGTACATATGCTTCGGCAATCAGCGGGAACCAACAATCTAGTGAGAAATCTCTCAAACCAGTCATTCTTTACATGGAGAACCCACAGTGGTGTTTGACTCCAAAGACATAGAAACATATATCACGGAAGAGAATTTAAAAATACGCTCTCATTGCCAAATTCTCACATGGAAGGCCTTAACTTCCAGATTTACGAAAAATATTGCCTCAACAATTAGGATTTAAGGGTGAATGTAACATTGGGTTATTAGAAAGTCGACATGTGCTCCTGCGGTTCACTTTAAAGGAAGATTATATTGCAATCTTTTCAAAAACTAGTAGGTCGATTAAGTTCGCTGGTACTGTTATACCATTCAGAATCCAAGAATGGACTCCCTTTTTTAGTCCTAGGGAAGAAACCTCCATTGCAATGGCATGGATTTCTTTCCCTAGTTTACCCTGTCAATATTTTGCTCGTAATGCTCTGTTTTCAATGGCTTCGGTTGTTGGACAACCTCTTGATGTGGATCGAGCGACCTATGATAAAACACGACCTAGTACTGCAAGGGTAAAAGTCGAGGTGAATCTTTTAAGGATTCTTCCAAAAGAATTAGAGTTCAATTCAACGATTTAGTCACTGGCGAAATTACAAACGTATGGCAAAAATTAGGTATGATTATGTACCATATTATTGTAAGAGATGTAAGCATCAGGGGCATAAAAGAAGCTGATTGTTGAACTCTCACTGATGGTCAAGTTGATGTCATGGTCAGTGAAAATCATATTGAAGGAGAAAAATTTCAAGGAGATCTTCGTGATCATCTCAATGCTAAAAAACTGATTTAAATAGGCTGAAAATTGGTGAAACGGATGAAACTGTTAAAGATTTAGATGTAGGGGCTGAAAAGAGTGGTGTTCAAGATCAAAATTTGGTGTGCCAAAATTCTGGCCAGCGCCTAAGCAAAGCAATTTTGGACGACTATTCTTTAGGGAATCAAATGTTATCCTTAATTCCTCAAACTGGTGAGTCTTCGCGGCAAAGTTGTAATTCAGTTGATTATGTTGGAGTTGAAGAGCAACTCGTTGTGCATTCAAATCAGCAAAATAACAAATCCAAGGATACACAATTTGCACAAAAAATCAATGAGGTAAAAGATAATGAAATTGTTGCTGAAAATTCAAGTATGAGGCAAAGTGAAAAGCACACTTCTGGTCTTCATGAAGCTATACAGGCGATAAAATCTGATGCGCAACTTGAAAATTTGGCAATTGATGAAGAGGAAAAAATTGCAGAATCAGAACGTGGTAATTTGAAACCTTTGGAAGCTATCGATTTGCAAGTTGAAATTTCTAGTTGTGATGAGAATGCAACTGGGAATTGGAACACAATTGCACAAAAAAAATCAATTTCTATGTGTATTGGTTCATCGGCAAGTCGAAGTAAATCTCCACGTCTTGAAAATAAGCAACAGGTAACTACTAATCTAGTAGTGCAATCTAATGGATCAAAGGACATTGTTTGTACAAATCCATTTGAAGCACTCGGGGTGGAGAAGGAATTAGAGTTAATTGATTCTAATCCCTCGAAGGAGAAAACTTTGGTTCGAGCCGATCCTGATAGTAATATACAATCAGTTAGCACACCAATTGGAGTATGTAGCATGCGGACCGAAAAATATGGTAATGTTATGAGTCCTACAGTAGCTAAGGCTATTCAAGAAAGTCAGGCTGCTATGTTACTCAAACCCAATTCAGCGATCAAGCCACCCATGGTCACATTGAGCATCTTAGCTCATGAGGTCACTTCCCAAAATTTGGATTCACCTGATGAACATCAAGGTGAATTTGGACAGCTCTTATCATCCACAGGGAATGATAAAATTTTGGCGAAAGGTATGTCACCACTCTCTCAAGCTAATTTTACAAATGATTTGTTAATTTCGAAAGAAAAACAACAAGGGGAGATGAGTACTCCTAGGTGGGCTGATTTGGTTGATGAAGAAGAGCATGTTTCACCTCCTCTTTTGAATAGAAAATTGAGTCCACAAGCTCTAGAATTTGTACCTAAAAGTACAATTGCAAAGAAGAATGAACAAGAGGCATTAGCATCAGGATTTAGACCAATTAATGCTTATGCTAGTGATTTGGCGATGATTCTTTTGATGAGGATGAGGATGAGGACGAGGATGAGGATATGTTGGACATATGCTTTGATAAAGTGGCTAGAGATGGGGATATCTCACCTAGGCATCAAAGAAGTGGAAGCAATAAAAACAAAAAGAAGACACATGGAAGACAACACAATTGGGATGGTAAAGTGACAGGAGAGTTTGTTCCAAGGCACCTGCCGATGCGACTGCCAAAGCAAAATCATATGACAGTGTCAATAGGTTCAACAAGATCCAATACATTTAAAAGCAATGATGAAGTATCAAATTTTGTTGGACATATTTGAAGAAGAAGACAAGAGGAAAATACTTCAGGTTACTTTAGATGGACAATCTATTGTTGACACCTAATTTTGACCCTCCACGATAAGAATTAATTTGCAAGCTTTCTTAATTCCAAACGATTTGAAATAAATAACTTTATAAAAATTCAAAATATGTTTCAAGATACTTAAGAATTTTATTCACTTTTATGATATTGTAAATAATAAATATGTTTATATTGTTACGTATGTCACTAATGTATTTTATAAATACTTGAAAATTATCTTGAAAAAGATTTCACTATTACTATTATTTTAACATTAAACGCTTTATTAATTTAATTCAGTTTGAATTATAGCTATGTTGTTGAATTAGTTATTTTTATTAAGTTAATTATTTTATTCCGTTAAGATTAGAAGCTCGCCAACTAATTTTTATTGATTCGCCTTATTTAGCTTTGTTTAGCCGAATTACCAACTAACTTCATTTCGATTAAAGATGTTGACTCCATTTTGCTATGTGTGAATTAATTGCAAGACCGAGAGGGTGGGCCATTTTCGAGCAGCCCACTTTAATACATCAGCAACAATATGCCAACAATATCAATATTCTCCCAAAGCCAACTCCCTTTTCCTTCCCAAAAAATTAGCCAACATTACAATTTCATATGTACAGCAGCCCACTGCCTTACCAGGCCTAATCACCTGACCCGTCCCAATCCTTGTTCAAAAAAGAAACCCAGAAACAGATCCCCAAAGACCCATAAGCAGATGGCGTGTAGAGTTCCCAGCTCCAACGTTCACGAAAGAACACGGAGTCGAGACGGAGTAGATGGAAAGCATCAGTACACTACGAATTTTGTCTCCAACATCTCTGTCCCGGCAGTGACAGAAGCATGCTTCTGTCCCCATTTCCTCTTCTGGAATGGGGTTGAAAATCTTAGAAAAGTATGTCCTCCTTTAATGGTGATAGAATTTTGAATTTTGGGAGGATGGGAATTCCGATTTTACCCCAAGTTTCTATCCGTTTCCCCCCAAAATCTACCCTAATTTTCCCTATATAATCATCTCTTCTATTCATTTGGAGAGGGGGTTTTTTTTTTTAGTTGCAAGATTTTGGGTTAGAGACAAGCGTTGAGAGAAAATATTGGAAGAACTAGCTACAATTTGAAAAAAAAAAACACATACATTATTAGCTATAAAATTTACAGATAGATATTTGAGAATAGTTCTTAGAGGTAGAAAGGAGAGTGGTAAAAAGAGTTGAATTTTTTTTTTAGATTTTCGATTGAAAAATTTGAGGGAAACATAGAGAAAAGGATTAAGCGGAGCGGCCTATATTCCATCCAGCTTCTTCATTTCACCGTTCGTGGTCAAGTTTTGTGGTAGAAGTCGCGTCCCTCTGCTCAAATTTCTCATCCCTGTTCGCTGCCCGCCATAAGGTGAATAACTCGTAATAGTTTCGTTCGTTTTGAGTTCAGGGTGTTGCTTTGAAGTTTTGTTCTTTGTTGATCTCGATATGATCATATATGATATGTGCGCGTCTAAGCCATTTTTCTTCGTTTTAATTTTCCGAAAATTAGTAATATTGGT